TCTTCCGGCCAGGCCTCCCTTTCAGGGGAGGAGATGCAGCAGGATATTGAGTTATCTGATGATGAGGATCTTTTACCTGACCAACCATCATTCGTTGGACTCTTTAGACCTCATCTCTTCTGGTCATTGCTGCATAAGGCCAAGATGACCACTCGATAGGGCTCGGTTCAGTCAACTCCTGGTACTGCTTTGGAGCCCGCTGACCTGGCTGATCCCTTGTTTGTAGAACCCACCACTGAGTCTGAGGAGGTTCTGGCCCCTAGACTTTATTTATTTATTTATTTATTTATTTATTCATTCATTCATTCATTCATTCATTCATTCATTCATTTATTTATTTATTTATTTATTTATACCGCCCTACTCCCGAAGGACTCAGGGCAGTGAACAGCCAAACAGTAAAAACACATAAATACAAAATTTAAAAACAAAGTAAAATCAAATTAAACAAATTTGGCCGAAGACATATTAATCATTTAAAAACCAATTTAAAATTTGCTTAATTAAAAAGAGGGAAAAATTAGGCCAGGCCCGCCTGGTGGAATAAAAAGGTCTTAAGAGCGCGGCGGAAGGTGCGCAGATCCGGGATCCTCCGTATCTCCGGGGGGAGCTCGTTCCAGATAGTAGTGCCCCCACAGAGAAGGCTCTCCCCCAGGGGCCACCAGTCGACATTGTTTGGTCGACGGCACCCAGAGGAGCCCCTCTCTATGAGAGCGTACCGGCCGGTGGGAGGCTATTTGTGGTAGTAGGCGGTCCTGTAAATAACTAGGTCCTAAGCCATGGAGTTTAGGACCTGGCACATGTGTCTCGACATGACACATCAACAGAGGGTCTCTCCAGGCTTGGGTCCTATTCTCAGCAGTTTGGACAGATGCCTGTACAACTTTGATTCCGATATGACCAAGTCGCTACAGGTTCCAGTGGTTGACCCTCCAGTGGTGGCTCTGTCATCACAATCCAACCTACCAGGTCCTCTGGAGGAACACCTCCATCCAGAGGATTAGAGATCGGAGCAATCTCTGGTCAAGACCCATCAGGCTGCGGCCTGAGCCATTAAAGCAGCCTCAGCTGCATCATTTTTTTAACAGGGCTTCTTTGCTCTGGTTAAGGCAATTACAGGACTGCCTCCCAGTCACAGATACCAGGTCCCACCAAGATCTCAACAAGATCATGGCAGCAATGAATTTTCTGTCGATGCAACGCTAAATGCGTCTCAAATTGCATCTAAGGCTATTGGATCTTCCATCACTTCTCGTTGCCTCCTGTGGCTTCGCCAGTGGCAGGCTGACACTCTGAACAAGTGGGGACTAGCATCTTCCCCTTATAAGGGAGAGAAATTATTGGGCGAATCCCTAGGCTCTATTCTGGTGGAGTCTCGGGACAAACGTAAGATTATGCCTAATTTGACCAGATGGGCAGAGGTCTGCTTGAATCTGTATTTTTGTCCCTCTTCCTTTCAGGGAGTGGACAGTGGTTTTGGAGGGCAACGATCGCAGAGATAATTTGCCTTCAGAAAGAGTCAGGACAGGCAGGGCATCCAGGGGCACCGTTAGCCACCCAAATGTTCCTTTCGTGGTGGGGGGTGGGGGGGTGTCACCTCTATCGACAGTCCAAATGACTGCTCTTCCAAGTCTCCCATAGGGGGCTGGTTGGCTCTCTTTGCCAACCAGTGTGAGGCTTCTACTTCGGACTCTTGGGTTAGGGAGACGGTAAGGTCGGGCCTCTCCCTGGAATTCCTGCCCAACCCTCTGAGGTTCTTTGTCCGCTGTCCCGTGTCGCAGGATCGGGTGAAGCGGCGCATCATGGATTCGGCCATAATACACTTATTGGCGCACCACGGTCAGGTTTATACTCTTCCTGGTTCCGAAGTCCTCGGGGGATTGGAGGGCAATTCACGATCTTAAGACCTTGAACCATTATATAGTGTGTCGCAGGTTCAAGATGCAGTTTCTCCACTCCATTCTGGAGGGTGTCAGAAAGGGCTACCTCACGTCGGTGGATCTCACAGAGGCCTACCTGTATGTCCCCATTCATCCAGATTACAGACAATTTCTCTGTATTCAATATGCAGGGAAACATCATCAGTACCAGGCGTTACCTTTTGGCCTGTCCTCTGCCCCAAGGGTGTTTACCAAGTTGATGGCCGCCTTGGTGGGCCATCTCCGGACTCTACCTGGATGACAACCTCATCCAGTCCAGTTCAGAATCCCGAGCCAGACAAGATCTAGATACTACCATACAGGTCCTCCAATGTCATGGCTTCTCAGTGAACCGTTCCAAAAGTCATCTGATCCCTACAACATGTTTGCTCCATCTAGGGGCAATAATAGACACAGTGGAGTCAAGGGTATATCTTTTACCGGACCGTCAATCCAGCCTGAAGGACCTGGCAGTCAGAGTCCAGTTGGATCATGCCTCTTCCTTGCTGCTTCTCTGTCAGCTTCTGGGAAAGATGGTGTCATGTTTTGGCATCACGCCTTGGGCTCATCTCCACAGCAGGGCCCTGCAGTGGTTTCTCCTTCCATTCCAACGAGCTCGGCGCAGCACATCTCCAGTACGAGTGGAGGTTCCACTAGTGGTCCAGTCTTCCCTCACATGGTGGTCTTCCGACACCGTTGCCCAGGGTTCCAGGTTCCGGAAGCCTCATTATCTCATGCTGACGACCAACACCGTCTTCGGCTGGGGTGCTCATCTTGGATCCCACATGGCTCAAAGTCAGTGGTCCCCGGAGGATCTTTCACACACCAGCCAGTCCACCTGGCTCACAAAAGTTTCGAGTCCCTTGTGTCGGGGTCGGCCATATTAGTGCTGACGGACAACGTGACCACCAAGGCCCACGAAAATAATCAAGGGGGGGACCCAATCCTTAGCTCTGATGCAAGAGTCAGAGCAGCTGATTCTCTGGGCGGAGTCACATCTGTCTTCCATCCGAGCAGACCACATATCGGGAGTGGTGAGTGTCCAGGTAGATTAGCTCAGTTGGACTTCTGTCAACCAGGCAGAGTGGCGTTTGGATCTGTCTCTGTTCAGGGCTCTGACAGATCACTTCAGACTCCCGGTGGCGGATGTGTTTGCCACACAGGACAACCGTCAAGTACTGAGGTTCTTCTCCCGGTTCCCGTCTCTGGAGGCAGAAGCAGTGGATGTGTTGCGGAGCCTGTGGCCGTCAGGGCTCCTGTATGCCTTCCTTCCTCTTCCTCTGATTCCCAGAGTCATCTGGAAGCTGTTGGAGGAGAAGGCGGAACTTTTACTTCTGGCTTCTCATTGGCCCAGGAGACCTTGGTTTGCAGATCTAATGGCTCTCTTAGTGGTCCGACCCTGGAGATTGCCTTGGGACAGGATCTCCCTCAGCCAGAGGGTGTTAGTACACCCGGACCCGCAGTGGTTTCAACTAACCAATTGGCACTAGAATGGGGCCTATTGAGGGAGGACAAATTCTCTTCCAAGGTCATTGTTACTATCCAGGTGTCCTACAGGGATTCTACCAACTGTATCTATAATGGTACATGGCTGTTTTGTACCTGGTGCAAGAAAGGGAATCTAGTTCCCACTGAAGTTTCTGTGGCTCAGGTTTTGGACTTTCTTCAAGTCGGTTTGGATGCTGGGTTGGCCCTTAATACTCTTCAGAGACAGGTGGCAGCCCTTTCTTCCATTCTTACTTGTGGAACCAGGAATTCCCTGTTGAGGCATCCGGGGGGCCTCCAACCTTCGACCACTGTGATTCACCACTTTCCCATGTGGGAAAGTCTTAACTGCCCTTACCCGGGGTCCCTTTGAACCCCTATGGAAGGTTAGTTTGAAATTTCTTTCCTATAAGGTGGCATTTTTGGTGGCTATCACCTCTGCTAGGCGCATATCTGAGCTGGCGGCTCTGTCCACCAGGGGGGATCGCTGTGTTTTCCACACTGACAGAGTAGTTTTAGCCTCGACTCTACGTTCCTTCCAAAGGTCAACACTTGGTTTCATAGGGCTCAGGAGTTGATTCTGCCCAATTTTTGCCCTGAGCCTTCACACCATTTGGAACGTGTTTGGCATACATTGGACATACGGAAGGCTCTCCGCATATATGTTAAACGGACCTCTTCTCTGCTGAGGACAGAGTCCCTTTTTGTTTCTTTTCAGCCTGCTACCCTTGGCGGCAAGGTCACTTCCTCCACCTTGGGTTGTTGGATCAGGGCTTGTATATCTATGGCATATGAAGCCCAGGCCTTACCTGTGCCCAGGCGTATCACAACTCATTCGACACGAACTGCTGCAACCTTTGCAGCTTGGGCTACCCAGGCCTCTCTGGAGGAGGTCTGCAGAGCAACTACTTGGTCTTCCCCTTCCCCTTTTGTACGTCATTACAAGCTTGACTCTTACACCTCGGCTGAGGCTGCTTTTGGCAGACGGGTTCTCCAGCGAGTTCATTCAGACCTAGGACCGCAGGCCTGGACTTCTCCCTCCCAATAGGACACAGCTTTGGTATGTCCCATTCCTGACTGCTGTTTCCTCCAAGCTGAGAAAGGGCGTATCAGGTAATAACCAACGCCCATTCTCAATCTAAGAGAAGCTGACAATCTGAGCTGTCACATTCTGAAAACTTAACAGTTTATGTCTCTATTTTTTTTTACTTGGAAGTATATTGCTACAGTGTCTTTTTGTTTTATTCTTGGTAGTCTGTATGCTGGTACTGCAATCCTGTGTTGTAGGTTTTAAAACATTTTGTTTTACTATGTGAGCACTTCTTGGAGGATTTTTAGTGTAAAAGTTTTATCATCAAAACAATTTAGAATCAAAACTTTAAAAAGCTTGTGAAAATCCTCTATAAACAACATTTACTGTAATTATTTTACTAATAAATGAGATATGACTAAATATAATTTTAGATTACTTGGGAAGAATTTAATTTCTCTGACTTTGTTAAAAATGAATATATAGTGATAATGAGTTATATCAGTAATTTGGGCCATGTTAGCCACATCAGTAATTTGGTGCTATGTTAAATCAAATATTGGCAGAATGGTGAGACAGTTGGGGAAGAGAACATGGAAGTCATCAGTGAAAAAGGCGACCAACCCAAAGGTAAAACATGGGCAATATTTGTCAATTGTTAGAATTCCTAATATAGGGGTGATGGTTGTTATTTATTTCTGTCCTAAGACAGTTTATGCAACTTTCTCACCTTTCCGATTACAAATATAGTTATAGATAGCATCTCCTTTCTTAGAGGCGATTCTTCAATTCTCCATTAATGGAGAATTATGGAGATGATGTTCTTCATTCCTGCATAGAAATCTGTAACATCAAAGAGTTGAACTATTTGGCTCAAACAAGATGAAGCTGAGATGTTTAGATGGGGAGAGTGTTGTTTCTCTTGAAGAACCATGTCTAAACACACTGGCCTGGTCCAGCTTTTTTGGCATGTCGGTTAATGGCTTAAAAGCCTCCTGTTAATGGAAGGGGAATTTCCACCTGGGAAGATTTTGCTGGAATCAGTCAATAGTTTCAACTTAATTATCTTCTATTCCTAATTGCCTCCTTGTAATAAAAGCCTAAACCTCTAAAATCTTAAAAGGCATGATTCAGGTCTGTCTAAAACAGAGGGTGATCTGGGGTTCCTCGGAGGATGTTATGGTGTCATTCACCAGAGATTTGTCCTGCCCCAACCTTTCTTGCTTTCTGCAAGTTCTTAAAAACCTGGGTTGGTTGGCTAGCTTGGAGACTGGGTTGTACTGGGTTCTACAGTTGAGCTTGTATCTTAAATTGATGGTGTTGCTTGATTTTTTGTTTAATCTCAGCACCTATATTTGTTACCTATTTAATAATCTTTTATCTTTTTTTATTTTCTGTTAGTCACCCAGAGTCCTATGTTTTATTTTGTTTATACATTCATTCATTGAATGAGAAAAATAAAATGAAATAATGAAATAAAATAAGATCAGTCTTTTGGCTGTTTCATTTAGAAACCAACCTGTTGATCTCTTTGAGAGGAACATTCCTGATGCTTGTTCACAACTTTTATTCCTGATGTTTTCTACCTTTATGCCTTGAAAATAATTGTTAATAATTGTTATTGAACAATGCTTCACTGTGCCAGGTGAACCTGAAGTTAAAAATATAAAGCGCACATCATTGTATTTCTTTCTCCACAGAAAGGATAGAGTTTTTAAAGAAGTGTAAGCAGGCTGGGCTTCTGAATGAAATATTTGAGAAAATGTTGAATACTCTTTGCCTGGCACAGGAAAAGCTGATGGATGACAATACTTCAGAAGCAGGTATTATAAAGAATGTGGTATTCTCAATTGTCTGAGATCTCATATCCGAGAGGTTTGATCCCAAGAGTACTGTTGTGTCACCTCACAGTCTTCACTTCTCAGAGCTAAATGTTTCTGGTTTCTTTGCAGTTTCCAGTCCTCTATCATCTTTTTCCCTTGAATGCATCCCAGTTTGATCTAAATAATTATTACAGAGTTTATCTGCTAATCATGCATGTGAGAAAGATCTTAGAACAGTGGTTGACTGCAAACTAAATGTAAATCAGTGGAGTGACAGGTCTTAAAAATGCAAATGCAAATGTTAATTTGCATCAAAATAATTATATTTTCCAAATCACAGGAGTATATAGTTCTGCTTTATTTTTCATTGGTCAATTTCCCTTAATGACCACAACAAGGATTGCTGGAACTGTCATCACACTAAGCGGAATATTCAATAAATGAAATGGATGTTTCATTTAACAACCACTTGACTTAGTAACACTTACTGGTTCCTGTTATGGCTGTTAAGTGAGGACCTGTGGTTCTATCTCTTCTTAGTAAACTGTTACCATTTTGCATCTTCTTTAAACAGTGTACCATATATAGCAATTCTTTTAGCGTCCTTTCTGTTGTTCTAGGCTTCCTACACTTCAGCTTGTTTTCTCTATATGCAAAGCTATCTATTTACCTGTTTGTATTTCTTGCTGACCAGTCCTTCCTTTTGTTTCCTACATAATTTTTGTTTTCAGACTTTCATTAAGGGTTTTCTATAGCCTTATTAGCTTTTTCCACTGCCATGTCACCAGAATTATTTGAAATATGTTTTTATTTCTTTTTCAGTGTCTTCCACAAATCTTGAATGTTATTTCTCATCTTCTCCTACTGTAAACTTAAATTTCACTTTTTTGAAGTGAAAATATAAGATATTATATCCTTAAATTAAAGACCATAATTTCCTTCAATAGTCATGCTATTTCCAGTTCTTCAACTAAGTATTTCTATTGGCTAATGCCAAATTGATAATAGCTTATTCTCCTGTGCCTTCTTTCCTTTTGTAGTTTGCTGTCACCAATTTTGTGGAAGGCCCTTGCCTGGTAATTGTGATAATAGGAAGGCAGAGGAAAACAAGCTATTCTCAACTTGACATTAGCCAATAGAAAATATTCTATTGGCTAATGCCAGGTCTGTATAGAAGTCTGAATATTATGAGTAAATCATTCTTCAAATTATCTGGTCCCAAACATACATTAGGATATCAGCAAATTGCCTAAGTACTTGTTCTCCTGTGAGTTTGTTCTCCTGTGCTTTCCTTTACTTTCTGAAGAGTATTGGCACAGATTTTGTGGACGGTCCTATATCAGGGGTGAAATCCAGTAGGTTCTGACAGGTTCTGGAGAACCGGTAACGGAAATTTTGAGTAGTTCGGAGAACTGGCAAATACCACCTCTGGCTAGCCCCAGAGGGGGTGGGAATGGAGATTTTGCAGTATCCTTCTCCTGGAGTGGGGTGGGAATGGAGATTTTGCAGTACCCTTCCCCTGCCATGCCCACCAAGACACACCATGCCCACCAAGACACACCATGCCCACCAAGACACGCCCACAGAACCGGTAGTCAAAAAATTTGGATTTCACCACTATCCTATATGCCTCTTTGAGAGTTTTTCATTTAGAAATATATTGCTATGCTTTGTCTCTGCTGTCTAAATGTTATCATTTTATATCAGAATCTAACCCTGTCTTAAAAATATTATTTCAATTTAAGGATTATTGGCCTGGATTTGATTCTTTCATGTTGCCATTTTTAACATGTTTAATGTTGCATGTTCCATTAAAATCATTTTTCTTATTTTGAGTTGCCTTAAAGAAAAAAAATTATTTAATGAATTTAATGAATTGTTCTACTTTCCTCAATTGCTTAGAATGTAAATTCTCAATAAATATATATAATCATCTTTAAAAGTCCCTTGCTACAGTTAGTGTTTTGAATTTAGATGCAACTTCGGATATGGTATTGATAAAAAGGGAATTTTAAAAAATACTCTGATCATTATCATCATGCATATTTTAAAGGAAGTTTGTGTTTTTGAAGAAGTACCAGCATTGTTCTTTCTATCCTTAGAGTATGAAAAAACAGTGATATCACTTTTTGATTGTGGTCTCTTTGAAAATATTCGTAGAGCAGCTCATTCAGGTATGTATGAAACAAAATGTAACAACTCTTACAGTTTGTAGAACCAAGGCTATTTCTTTTAAACTAGATAGGAATACAAATAAGTACAGATAAGAATGCAGTACTATTTTTAGTACTGTGTTCCTTTGATCATGTCAGTCATTTGATCTAGGAAAAAACTCAGCAAATAATATATTCAGGCAACACAGTGAAACTTCCATTTAGCAGGCTTCAGATGCTATAGTACAGGGATCCCCAAGCTTTTGGACCTCAGGGACCACCAAATTCATAATTTTAAATCCCGCGGACCACTAATACGAATCCAGCCCGCCACTTGCTGAAGCGCCTGGACTCCCAGTGATGGGATGGGGTCCTTCAGGCACTTTCCCTCTCTCTCTCTCTCCCTCTCTCTTTCTTTCTCTCTCTCTCCCCCACTCTCTCTCTCTCATTCTGATTCTGTCTCTTTCTCTCTCTGATTCTCTTTCATTCTCTGTCTTTCTCTCTCTCTCATTCTCTCATTCTGATTCTCTCACTCTCATTTTCTCTCGGATTCTCTGTCTCTTTCTCTCATTCTCTCTCATTCTGACACTTTCTCGCTTTCATTCTCTCTCTCTGTCTCATTCTGATTCTCTGATTCTCTCTCTTTTTCTGATTCTCTTTCATTCTCTCTCTTTCTCTCTCCCACTCATTTTCTCTCTCTCATCTTTCTCTCTCCCCCCTTTCTCTCTCTCTCTCTCCCCCACTCTCTCTCTCTCTCATTCTGATTCTCTCTCTGATTTTCTTTCATTCTGTCTCTCTCTCTGATTCTCTCTGATTCTCTCTTTCATTCTGTCTCTTTCTCTCATTCTCATTCTGATTCTTCTTTCTCTCACTCTCATTCTCTCTGATTTCTTCTCTCTCATTCTCTTTCATTCTCTCTCTTTCGTTCTCTGTCTCTTTCATTCTCATTCTCTCTGATTCTTTCTCTGATTCTCTTTCATTCTCTCTCTCATCTCTCTCACACACACTCATCCTCTCTGATTCTCTTTCATTCTCTCTCATCCTTTCTCATCTCTCCCTCTTTCACTCTCATCTCTCTCTCTCTCCCACTTTCTCTCTCTCACTCTTTCATTCTCTCTGATTCTCTTTCATTCTCTGATTTTTTCAATCTCTCATCCTCTTTCTCATCTCTCCCTCTTTCACTCTCATCTCTTTCTTTCTCTCTCTCTCTCCCTTTCGCCTATCTCTCCCACTTTCTCTCTCTCACACACACACTCTCTCTCATTCTCTCTCTCTCTCTTTCTCTCTCTCTCCCCCCCCCTCTCAGCAGGGGGAAGAAACAGCCCGGCGTTGCCGCCACCTATTGCTTCGGCCCGCCTGCATCGCCACCCCCCTTGCACCATTACCTCATTCCAGCCGGTGAGGGCTGCGCTGCAAAGTTGCAGGTTGCACGAACCTCCCTTTACAGCGGAGAATTACAGCCTCACCATGAGCTGCCTGGCCAGTCCCATATTCCAGAGCTCTAATCACAGGACTGGCCATTGCTCATCCTGGAGCAGCTCCTCCACCCTGGTGCACCACAGACCACCAAAATTTTCTCGCAGACCACTGCTATAGTACAAACTAATTTTTCTACCCAACCCTCTCCAGAAAATAACAAAGCATTACTTTAACTGTATGGCTTCAGTGGCAATTTGGACCATTTTTATGATGATACTATATAGATGATGCAAATAATACAATTTGCATCATTTAATGTCATTTGTATAATGATAATACAAATGATGTAAATTGGCACACTGACATAACTTGTATAGACGTTTGGAGCTAATGGATACTTTTATCCATCTAAATCAGCGGTTCTCAACCTGGGGTTCGCGACCCCTTTGGGGGTCGAACGGCCATTTCACAGGGGTCGCCAAAGCCCTCTCTCGCCCCCCCCACGCCTTCACTCACCCTCACCCTCTGCCTCTGTTGGATCACCCGGTCGCCATTCGCTTACCCCGCCCACTCCCAATCTATTGCTGCCTCCGGAGTCCCAGCTGATGGCTAGAGGGAGAAAAAAACTGTTTAAATTCTTGCCTCCGGGCTTCAAAGGGCCGCCCTACAACAGATCAGTGTTAAAAGAAAACAAATGAGAAGATCAGTGCCTGCAAAAATAGAAAAAACAGCCTCTTTCAGCTTCAGCAGAGGTTAATTAGCATAAATTGATTAGCTCCCCTCCCCCACTCTCAGCTGATTTGCTCTCAGCTGTTTTGTGCAGGCTCCTTTGCAAGCTCTTGTTTTCCAAGCTGCAAAAGAGTGCAGGAACAATTTTTTTCCCCTAGCTAAAACAAAACTGAAAGGGTCTTTGCTGCAGCGTGACAAAATGAGGCAGGGAGAGAGATTTCTTTTTCTTTTTGCTCACCAAAAAAGGTAGGTGCAAACAATGGGAAATTTAGGGCAAAAGAGGAGAGTTCAAGATTTTAAAACACAAAAGAAAAAAAGCTCTATTTAACTAGGGAATTGTAATAATTGAGATACTGTTAATTGTATATTGTGTTGAAAGCAGAAATGGTTAAGTTGTGGTTTGGAGGAATATATGGGGGAAATTATTTGGTTTATTATTATTGGAAAATATAATTAATGGATTTGTAAGAAATTGGATTGCATGGAAATAATTGGAATATTCATGTTCATATTGATTAATATACAAAAAAGATAATTATATAACTAATTGATTTATATTAAAATGTTGAATTTGTATTAAACAACTGTATTACATAATTAACCAATGTGAGGATGGATATAAAAATAGATGACAATGCGAAGGGGTATAATATAGAATAGAAGGAAAAAAATGAATTTGATTAAGATTAGAGATGAGAATGAAGGGTAATATTGGTTTTTTAAAAAAATAGATGAGGAATAAATATGGTAAAAAGGAAATATAGAAATTGTAAATTTAATTGAAATGACTAAATACTGTGTTGAAAGAAATATCCTTCTGGGTTCTGCTCCAAGTGGGGAAAAAGACACTGGAAACATGGAGACTGCTTGGAAAGATGGTTTAATGGTGGACAGGATCACATGGCTTGATGGGGCCCATTGTGTTAGTTTCTGTTGCTATTGTGTTGCAAATGTCCTTTGACAAAGGATTGACTTTCTGCCTCTGGCCCATTAACAAAGGGTGGGGGGCAGGAAGGTGGGAACTGCTTTGTCTGTAAAATATGCTTCTCCATTTCTCATCCAGGGAAATATAATATTCTGCCTTTTTAATATTTCCCAAAATATTTCATTCTTCTAGGAAAGGGGTGGGTGCTAACCTCCTACATCTGTTTAAATTTGTGAACCGGCCAAATACTCTGTTCAAAGAAAATACGTTGTATGTTTGTATGTGTGTTTCTAATTATTGCTATTTATTGCTATTTGTTCTCTTTTATTCTTTAAAGTTTAACAATTCATTCTTTATCTTAATATCTTAATATTTGTTTGGGGTTGACTTTCTTCCCTTTCATCTTTTTTATTGTACAGCAATCTTTCTCCTCAAACCTACCACCTCTGTCTTTTCTTTCTTACTTACTTTCTCTTCCCCCCCTTCTTCTCCCTACTTCCTCTTTCTTTCTCCTTCTCCTCCTCTCTTCCTCCCTCTCTTACCTTCACTCCTACTCTAATTTCCCTTTCCTTCCTTCATCCCTCTCTATTGCTGTATCCTTTTATGCATATGGACTACTCAGAGGGCTGAAAAAGTTATTTTTGACTGGTCCTCGCACTTTTGACCAGTCCTCGAACTTACGACTGTCCTCACAATTTACGTTTTTGCCCTATCTTGTCACCATGGTGAAGAGAAGCAGTTGTGAAATGAGTGACACAGTTGTTAAGAATGCTGCACAGGCATAAATGTGAGGATGGTCACAAGTGTGAGGACCAGAAAAGTGTGAGGACCTGTCAGAAATGACTTTTTTCAGCCCTCTGAGTAGTCCCTATACACATAGCCATGGCCACCCGGTCACATGACCAGCTAGCCACACCCACCCAGTCACATGACCTCCAAACCATGCCCACAAAATAAGCCACGCCCACAGAACCGGTAGTAAAAAAATTTAGAACCCACCCCTGGTTGGGGGTCACCACAACATGAGGAACTGTATTAAAGGGTTGCGGCATTAGGAAGGTTGAGAACCACTGATCTAAATGATCCAGTAAAACAAAATTTAATGATATTGCTTTGTCTGCCTTACAAAGGATGGGGACTATTTTATTGCAAATCAGTACTGGTGCTTTGTGCCAATTCTGCCTCGTTTACTTCAGTTGCACTCTTAGATTGACTTGTATGTGACTTTGTAGAACAATGTTCTACAAAGTCTTTTGATTCCCGTTCCTGGCTCTGTCATTCTGGAGTAGAGAGAATATGTCTTTTACATACCAGTTATACTTTGACAATTTTTCACCAAGTTTGTAGGTTTTGTTGTTTCTGTTTTGGGTGGGGCAGTTGAAAAAGAGAAAGAAAGGAAAGGAAAGAAGAGGGGAGGGGAGGGGAAATCATAGAAGGGCTGGCAAATGTAATGGATGGCCCCCATCACTGCCCACCCTAAAATGCAATGTTTGACATTCTCCCTGAAGGACTGTGGCCCTTAGGTTTCCCCAACGTTGTTATCCTCCTGGCATTGCTCTTCTAAATCTATATACTTTAATAATAATGTGTCTTGCATAAATAATACTTTTTGATATATCTCTGCATATATTCCTAATCTTAAGCACCGATTTTATTTATACAGGAACAAAGGGAAAAATTCAGGAACTAATGAATACCCGGATCGGTTTGGATACTCAGATTGGATTTTTAAAAGAAATAGTATTTCCTATCTCAGAAGACAATACCTCAAGTAGTATGTCTTGAGTAACCCACCATCTTTAAAATGTTCACTGATTTTTTTTCCAGATCACTTTGGTATAACACATTTTACATGTGGGTAACTGCTGTTTTTCCATTTTTACAGTTGAGACCTTTTTGATCTAGCCAATGTTTTACCATTAGTTTTAAATTAGAATGTATATGTCAGATCCGTGAATCTGCCATTCTTCAGGGGAAAGGGGGGAATCCTACCTGCATTATTTACTTTATTGCTTTCTTCCTCTTGTATCCTATTTCCTGCATGCTATTGATTTATAACCCTTTGCCTGGTGCCTAGGCGCCCTGGAATTTTCGCACCTTTTGGGGAATGTAAGGGGACGGAGGGCCATGTGGGTTGCATCACCTGAAAGCTGGCAGATGATGACCCTGAGAAACTTCCCTTATTTCATTCTCAGAGCGGCTGGTACAATAACATCTTCACACCTGCGGATTGGCTGAATTCACATTGGACTGTTGGGAGGGGTTCCTAATTTCTTTTATTCTACTATATTGCCTGAGGGAACTCAGAGCCTGCTTTGATTTCGTCCTGCTGTCACCCCTGTTCAATAAAAGATTCTTTTTGAAATGCCAAGTTTCAAAGGTCCTTACTTTCTTGAATAAGGGGGAGAGGCCGGATCTTACAAGATTATAGCTTTAAATACCTTCTATTAGATGAAAATTGATGGAACAAAATGAGTGAATTCACCATATACACTTTATCTGCTGATGGAATTATTAACATGCTACTGTAAATCACTCTGGTTTTGGTTTACAGTTATCTTACAGAGCTACCAGATGTGGATTGATGATCACTAGAGAGTAAAAAGACAGACAAATACCCAATACTTTCCTGCCACTTAATGGTCATTCAGGTTTTTGCAATTCAGATTTGGTATCTCTTATCATATACACTCACTTAATTTCCCAAAGAAACTGCCCTTCCTGCTTCAAGTTTTATGAGAAAAATTGTGCATATATACTTATACATATATTTAGTTAATTGTGCTAATGAGGCCAATTTATATAAATCTCAATTGTTTCACATCAAGTAAAACGTTTCAGCAAATCTGCCACTTAAAAACTTTGTGTCTTAAAGAATATTGGACTGCTTCATTAGAGAAAAGCAATTTGACTTTAATTCAACTTCTGAAGTATGAGCCAGTTCTGCATACTGTAGTTTTAACATGGACAAATCAGGGTAAATTCAGTGAAGGACAATAGCAACAGAAGTAGTAAAAGAAATACTTCCTCCTACAACCAACCATTAAATCTAATGTAAACAAGATTAAGAGGCTGAGCGACACCATATTAGGTATTTCAGATTCACAGTTGGAAGGGACCTTGTAGGTCATCTAGTCCAACCTTCCACCCAAGGAGTAGATCCTACACTAGAGGTGTCAAACTGGCGGCCTGCGGGCTGGATGTGTCATGTGCAGGCCATGCCCACCCTAGCTCTCCAAAGGAAAAAAACATCGCAAAACATCAAGTGATGGCAATGTGATGCCGTGAATTTAACATCTGTGCTCTACACCATTTCTGACAGATGGCAGTCCAGTCTCTTCTTGAAAGCCTCCAATGATGAAGCTCCCTCAACTTCTGAAGGCAAGCTGTTTCATTGGTTGATTGTTCTGTCAGAAAATTCCTCCTTATTTCTAAGTTGAATCTCTCCTTGATCAGTTTCCATCCATTATTCCTTGTCTGGACTTCAGGTGCTTTGGAAAACAGGTTGACTCCCCTCCTCTCTGTGACAGTCCCTCAAATATTGGGACACTGATCATTCCCTGGTCAACATCTTCACTAGACTAGCCATGCCTAGTTGCTATGTTTTAGTTCTTATGTTTTAGTTTCCAGTCCCCTAATCATCTTTGTGCTCTTCTGTGCACTCTTTCTTTCAACATCTTATTTTATAGTGTGGTGACCAAAACTGAATGCAGCATTCTATGTGTGGTCTTACTAAGGCTTTATAAAGTATTAGTACCTCATGTGATTTTGATTGAATCCCTCTGTATTAAGGTATTAAAGTAGTCAATTTGTTCTCCACTGCACAAAAACAGTAGTAGTAGTAAGAACTTCAGATTTTAAAAAAGACAGAAATGGCTTTAGAAACAGATGAGCTAATTCCATTTTAAGAGAGATTTTTAAAGAGGAAGATTATTAGAAATCCATGGCAACAGATATGCTGAAGCAGCACAGAACAGGTTTTATGCATAAGGGTCTTTTCAGCTCACCTGATTCTGGCAAAGTAAGAAGAGTGGGGGGGGGCAACCTTAGTGATCCAAGAAGTGATTTCAGTAAACCACCAATAAATGAGCAGCACTGAGTCAAGCATCAATCACTCCAAAGAGAAAGAAGCGTAACTCATCAGATACGAGAATTGAAATATGAGATCAAACTTTTCTATAGCAAATACTCCAAAAGACTTAATAGCTTTTCTCATTTATTCACATTTCAGAAATGCTACAATAACTAACTTCCTAACTTCATTCCAACTTTTTTGGTGAAAAAAGGAGTCCATCCAGAATACCACAGTCCTCATATAAAGATGATTTAGTGCATAATTTTAATAAAGTTTAGAAGTCCCAATAGGCAGGCGCTCATTTTATTATATAGTTTATACATAATTGCAATGCAAAACAGCTTTCCAACAGTCATTTACTTTGAATGATTTAAGTCCACAAAACAGAACAATATGTAATTCTTTTCCAAACATAATACACTTCAAAGGAAATACAAAAACAATAATTCCAATTTGTCTAGGAAAAACAAGTTGGTTCTTCAACATTTCAAGTTATTGTATAACTCAATGTACTTAAAGTGCAAATCTATTACATCCCACTGAATTCAGCAAGACTTATTCCTAGAAAGATGTATAGAGGAATGCAGCATTTTTCACAAATTCTTCTCAAATGACTGAGTGCAAGTTTCCTTCACATATATCCAGAGAGGATGATTCCTTTCTCAAAACTTCCTTTATTCCATGTAAGATATTTGCTTCCAGTTGCCATCAGAGTGCTTCAAAAGAACAAGAGGTACCACAATGTGATTACAAAAAATTAACAAACCATCTGAAAGAACAATCTCTGACATTATTTTGGCTACTTCTACCCACTCCATCTGTTCCGTTTTTCTCAAGAGTTACTTAAAACAGTAAATAGATCCAACTCTTTGGAGTAACAAAACCCAAGTAAAGGGCTTGCTATTTAATTTGGAATCCCTTTAAGGGTACAGCTATTGAGCATTGTGGTTTTATACTACAGGTGATATAATTTATTGGACCTATGAGAAAAAGGCCTGAAAGCTGTGGAGATACTGTATAGTCCAAAACAAACACACCTCTCAGTTCTTAAAGGCTCCATATTTACTGGCTTTAGCAATGAATTCCTTTAGCAGAGAACCATCCATTTGCCAGAAGGCAGATGTCTGGGTGACTTCAGTCAAATGATTGATACAAAACTTAAAGCAGAATTCTTCTAAATCCTAGATAGAAAACAAAAAAAAAAATATTTAAACTCATTCAAAACAAGTTTTAAATTAAAACATTCAATATTACCAATGCTGAAAAAAGTATTAACAGCATACACAGCATTTGTTATGTTCAACTAGGTCCGTGATGGCGAATCTATGGCACGCATAGATTCCAGCTCGCCATCTGGTCTTCTGGTTTTGTACATGCGCACCGGCCAGCTGGTTTTTGGGTTTCCGGCGCGTAGACGCATGCACGTTCCAGTTTGGACACTCAGTGCCGAAAACGTTCAATATCACTGAACTAGGTCATTCTGCCACTTGTTTGTCACAACAGAAAAAGGAAATATTTTCATTTTACCCTGTCTTAAAAATTTTTTCCATGTATGTGAAAATACAATTTGAAGTAAATATAAATAGGTATAGTAGCATTAAGATATCACTTTTAAGTATTTTATTTCCAGGTTAATTTAAATTAACTTTGAATTAAACTACTTCAAGGTGGACCACCTGGATTGAACAAAAACTTATCAACAAACAAGCAATGTATTTGATATTAAAAACAGAATAAAAGTATTATGATGGGATAAATTATTTCACATTCTTAATGCAGCAGAAAAACCACCCTTTTAATAGATAAATCATCCCTAAAACTTCACATATGTTCTCTCATAACACATTTGGAGCAATTTGCCATAACACTGAAAAAAATTCTTTGGGCAGATGTGTTCTAGCTCCTTCTCTCTTCATTTTCACCACTAATGCTTATTATTTGATAATGCATGAAGAGAACTGTGATGGCCTCCAATGGTGTTTTTTTATGTATAACACAAAGGAAAAAAGCCTGTACTTTGGCAATGAGATACATACACATCTCTAGGATGTTGTGGAGTGAGCCCTGCAAAAGAGTTTTGACACTCATAGGGGATGCCCAGCATGACTCCAAGGAACTGAACTGAATTACATCTCAGGCTCTGATGTTATTGTTGTAAACACAGGACTGCATTCCGCAGAGCCCAAGGCTCAATCCCTTAGTCTGGAATAATGTTATTGCAGCCGAGATAAGGTCCAACTGGTCAGAAAGCTCTAGTAATTTGACTAGACACTTAAGTTGAGTATGGGTCTCAAATGCTAAATCATGCATCTGACTTCATATCACCTGGAAATTCACAGAATGCAAACTGATGAAGATATAAATTGCCAACAAACGCATCTTTGTCATTCTAAGACATTTTGTTGCTCATTTCTATCACCCAAGATGACTCTCCAAATAAGTCTTCATATATGTCACCCCAAGACATATCACTCAACACTCCCAGGACAGTATTCCAATTTCCCACCAGTATGCATCCAGTGTATATACATACACACACGCACACACCTTCTTCTGGCTTCCACCTCCCCTCTTAAAGTCATGTTGTGCCCAGCTGTTTCACTGCTTCCCTAGCAATTCCCCAAGGTGCACTGGAGAGGGCAGACATTAAGGGACAGCTGATTTACCTCTGCATCATAGCGCACTGCTGCAGAGAGCAGTGAGAAAGCATTCTCCACTGTGATTCCTCTTTTGATAAGATGCTGACACAATTTTTTCAATCGGTTTTCACAATACGATGTAGCCAAATCCAGAAGCCCTGAAATTTAAGATTTTAATTAAATTAGGTAGAATCTCCTGCACATTGGTCATAAAGTATTAAAAATTGCACTGAAAATGTAAAATCTTTACACATCTTAGGAGGCAGAGTTCACCAGAGAAAGGCATATTCAGTCCATTGTCCCTTCTCACTCAGCTCTGGCAGCTTAAGGGAAGAGGCCTGACTGATACGTTCTTTTGATCCCTTCCTGTAACTGCTGCATGCCAGGATATGGACAGCTCCTATAACTAATACACTGTATACAGTCATCTAATGTGCAAAAGGTCTGTGAGTTTAATTCCCAATAGAAGGCCTGAATCCACAGAAGAAATCAGTCTTGCTGTCGTTCCTGGGGTACAACGGAACCTAATATCTAATCAAGCAAGGTATAGACACAAATTCAGCAATATAATGGCACTTTGATGTCATATATGTATATTCGCCATTTAAAGAGATTGTCAGATCCCTATCAGAATGCTGCCATTCTGGAAAT